AGCACTGGGCCTCGTCAGATCAAGCATTTATTTTAAAAAGCTTCTTCATTTTGTTAAGGTCTCTAGAACAATAATAAAGCAGTCTTTAAAAAATAAGTCTAATAATTTGAACATTCTATAGGTATTTATAGATATTTATAGTTATTGATTTACCTCCTTGCAGCAAACAGCAAACAGCATGTTTTAGTTTAACCTGATTAGAAGAAGAAAAAATCGGCCTCTGCCTCCCAGCAATTTTACTCCTTTGCAGCAAGGAGTTTCAGCAGGGCCTTCCGATGGTCAGCTGTTTCAGGTTGCAAGGATTGCCATAGCCCAGCGATGCCGAACCTTTTTTGGCTCGCGTGCCATAAGTGGGGGGAGCACAGGGGAGTCGTGTGCGGGAGTGCTGTACCCATAATGCAATGCGCAACCCCCCAGTGTGCATGTGCGCACTACAGGCGTGACCGCACATTTTTGCATGCTTTTTTCACCCTCCCCAGGCTCCAGAGGCTTTATAGGAGCCTGAGGAGGGTGAAAACAGCCTCCCCTGCTCCCCCGGAAGCCCTCCAGAGGCTTCAGGGACCTTCAGAAGCCCCCAAAGCAGTCAAAATGACTCTCAGAGCAAACCGGAAGTCCGTTCCTGAACTTCTGGTTTGCCCGTAGGGCCGTTTTTTTGCGCTCCTGAGGCTTCAGGGAAGCTCATGAAGCCTGCAGAGGGCCTCTAGGGGGGAGGCTCTTTTCGCCCTCCCCAGGCTCTTATAAAGCCTCTGGAGCCTGGGGAGGGCGAAAAATGGCTTTAAAAAAGGGTGAACTCAGCTGGCCAGCTGACAGGGCAGCACCTCGCGTGCCCTGACAAATGGCTCTGTGTGCCACCTGTGGCACGCGTGCCATAGGTTCGCCACCACTGCCATAGCCTATTGCCGCCTCCATAAGTACCATTTTCTCGTTTGCTGCAAGGAGGTAAATTGCTGGGAGGCAGAGTACAAAGGGTGGGGGCCAGTGGGTGGGTGGGCTACATTTGGTGTATAAGACTCACCCAAATTTTTACCCCCTCTTTTGTGGGGGGGAAAGGTGCGTCTTGTAGTCTGAAAAATATGGTAGGTCACAAAAATTGATTGCCACATTATACTTAAATAACACTATTTTACAAATACCTGTATTTTGTCACTATTATTCAACTAGATATTGGGAACAATCATAATCAGTCAAAACCAGCTTTATGGTTTTAGCGCACTCACCATCACAAGTTTTTCCTTCTCCACTGTATCCTGGCTTACATGTGCACTTATATAATTTCAAAGTATTCTGACAAATTGCATCTGGGTGGCAATCATCAATACCTTGTGCACATTCATCAACATCTGTGCAAAGAGAAATGAGAATGACAGTGTAATTAAAATTTACCATCATAGCTTCGTATATGCAGACCACAACATTTGATCAAAAGCAATAGTTAATAGTATTACTTCTACAGGTAGCTTGGTACCTATATTTATCATCCCAAATGGCATCTATAAAACTAAAAAATAAGCAAAAATAGTTTTTATGGGTGAAAATGGGTGAAACCCTGATGGTCTGATGTCTTGATTCTTCATGAGGAGGATCCAAAATGATAACTGGGGCAATATGTATTGAAACTTTTCAGCCTTGGGCATCCAAAGAAGTGGGTAGAACACTTTTCAATATTGTTCTATTAACCATGGGCTTGATCCATGCCCTCCCCAGCACTTTTGTGAGACCTCCCTGTACCTTGGTGAGACTGAGAAGGCATAATTGAATTTGAAAGATGACCAATGCTTGTGCTTAAGCCTAGGTAGTATGCAAATTGTAGCCCTAACTACAAAAGGAAGATAGAATAATTAATCAATGGAATGACTTGTTTCCAAAAGTTGTGGGTGTTTCAACACTGGAGGTTTTTAAGAGACTGGACAACCACTTGTTTGAAATAGTATTTGGTTTCTTGCTTGAGCAGGGGGTTGGACTAGAAAATCTCCAAGGTTCCTTCCAATTCTGTTATTCTGTTCTGATCTTGTAATAACTCACATTATTATCTTCACCCCCCTGAACTGTAATACATTCTACAAATACGTAGCCAAAACAGTACTTGGTGGAGAAAGCAGCAAACTGCCATAAATTTTTATATCGATATGATAGGCCCTACATTAGCTACAAAGTACATTCAAACCTAATATGGACCATTTTCTGTCTAAATGTATTTATTGTCTTGAAGATAGGTTCTTGATGCAGGCTCCATACTGCCTATCTTCAGGCCAATACATAAATATAGTTTAATGAAATGACATCCAACTATCTATAATATTTATTTTATTTATTTACTTATTAAACTCTTTGTCATCCATCTTACCAAGGCAATTATAGACAGCTTACACTAATTAAAAAATACTGTATAAAACATTAAAGCAATAAATAAAGAGGTGCCTATAGGGTTGAGTTCTGTACCAGCTGAAGCTTCTGGATATTCTTCAAGATTTGCCCCAGCTAGTAGGTGTTTCAATAGTCTAATGTGAGATGATCAGGTCTTGAGTGACTGAGCTCAGGAACTCCCAATCCAGGAAAGGACACAACTGGTGCACAACATGAAGTTGTGCAAAGGTTCTCCTAGACACACTTGCCACCTGCTCATTGAGCAGGAGTTGTAAGTTTAGAAGAATCCCCAAGTTGCATATCAGGCCCAACTGGGATAGTGCAGTCCCATACAGAACTAAAGATGTTAAAGTCCAGAACCCCAGAATCAGGTCCAACTGGGATAGGGTAATCCCATACAGAACTGTAGATGTTAAAGTCCCAGAATCCAAGTTCCACGCACCCAAAGTCTCTAAGTCTTACCAGGGTTCAGCCAAAGTCTATTGTCTCTTACTCAGGTCCCCACAACCTCCAGACACAAAGAGAGGGCAGCGATAGCATCACTTGGATCATTAAAGATGGAGATATAAATTTGATGATGGATGATCCCACCCAGGAGTTTCATGTAAATGTTAAAAAGGTATGGAGAAAATACCAAGCCCTGCAGCACTCCATAAAGGAGAGCTGTGGACTGGAGCTCCCACTCCCTATCAACCCCTTAGAGAAAGGAGCCAAATCAGCATAAAACTGCACCACCTAGTCCCAAACTCCGCCTCTGGCACAAACTAATGCTATGGTCAATGGTACTGAAGGCCATTCAGAGGTCAAGAAGAACAAAGATGGATGCACTACTCCATCCTGCTTTCACCAAGATCATCAACATGTGCAACCAATGCTGTTTCTGCCTCACAACTGGGCCTGCATCGTGACTGGAAGGACTCCACATAATCCATTTCATCCTGAGCCCTCTGAAACTACCACACAACCACTTTCTCTACCATCTTCCCTAAAAAGTGTGAGACTGGATGGAATTTGTCCAGGCAGGTGGCATCAAGACATGGATTTTTAAGGAGGGAGCGAATCAATACTTCCTTGAAAACTTGGAAACATCCCCTCCTGCAGTGAAGAATTTATCACTGCCTGAATTCACCTGTCTGTCATCGTCTTGGAGGCTTTCACTAGCCAGGAAGGACAAGGATCTAACTGATAGGTCAGTGATGGTGAACCTTTTTTGGCTCACATGCCAAAAGCAGGGGGAGCACAGGGGATTGTGCATGGGCGTGCACACCCATAATGCTATGTGCAAGACCACAGCGTACATGTATGCACGACCAGCGCTCCTCATTTTTGGCGTGCTTTTTTTGCCCTCCCCGGGCTCCAGGGACTTTATAGGAGCCTGGGGAGGGCAAAAACAGCCTCCCCCCCCCGGAGGCCCTCCGGAGGCTTCAGGAGCTTCCCTGAAGGCTCCGGAGGGCTAAAACCAGCCCTATGAGCAACCCGGAAGTCACTTCCGGTTTGCTGGTAGTGTCATTTTTTGCTCTCCAGAGCCTTCAGGGAAGCCTCCTGAGGGCTCCTGAATGTTCTGGAGGGCTAAAATCGGCCCTACGAGCAAACCAGAAGTCCATTTTCGAACTTCTGGTTTGCCTGTAGGGCTGGTTTTTTGTGCTCGGGAGACTTCATGGAAGTTCCTGAAGCCTCTGGAGGGCAAAAAATGGCCTCAAAAGAAGGCCAAAGTGAGCTGGCCAGTGCACGCATGCGTACTGGCCAGCTGACAGGGCAAGCCTCATTTGTCCTGACAAATGGCTCCATGTGCCACCTGTGGCACGCGTGCCATAGGTTCACCATCACAGTGATAGGTGATTGCACTGACAGCATTAAGGATCCTCTCCAAAAGGCTCAAATAATCAGATAAGACCTTTCCCCGGGCATCTCTAATGGACCTGTACCATGCGTGGGTTCTAACTGGGAATAAATCCAAGTGACTTTATCACACGTTCCACAAATTCTTCTGCATAGTTCTGAAGATGATCGCACAAGCACTCCTGTCTCAGGAGGGACTGAGTGATTCTAAACAGGGCCACTAAACGACACTTCGTGGACACAATAAGGATGGAGAAATAATTGTGTTTCACCACTCTTACCACCACAAGGTATGTCTTAATAGCAGCTCTAAGTCATATCCAGTTGAATTCATTCCTTGTTTTCCTCCAGCGGCACACTAGGCATATCTTATCCCTTTTCAAAACCCAGAGTGTGAACCATGGGGAGTGTTGGGAACAATGGGTCAACAAAGGCCATACAGGCATGATCCTGTTCAAAACCTCAGCTAGCCTTTCATTCCAGGATTTAACAAAAGCTTTGGCAGGATAGTGCAGCAAGGACCTCGGGATATCCTCTAGTTCCCCTTATAATATACAATTCTAGAAAAGAAGGAATATTAATATGAAATTAAAAAATAAAGAATTGGGAATCTAAAAGTGGGGTCTACTGTCCTTTTTATGAACTTCACCCCCCCCAACTGATTAAAGCCAAAAGTTGGCAATTTTTCTTCCTTTTGGACAGATAGTTAACAGCTAAAGTATAGACCTTGTAAATCAAAATTCTTACCTTGCTTATATTTGCAATGCACTCTTCAATGTGCTTAGTTTGACTCTCAAATGAAACGACTTTTGTAGACTGATGATGGACGGAGGAATGGATGGATATATATAATGTACTATTACTATATAGTAATTAATGTTTATCAACTGTATGCAATGGTGCATTTTAACTACTAAAAATATTTTAGTATCTTTTTGAAATAAACTGTTAAAATGAAGGCAAAGAGCGAGAGTCAAGACTCATTAGTGAATTTAAAAAAAAATCAGGATGGCAACTGTGACCATAGAATCACATGCACAAATGGAAGGGGCTTTGACTGCATAGTTCTGATTACTGTCTTGAGTTTTTTAATCCCACACCATTCCTGCCACCGCAGGAACTTTGTGGCAAAGGACTAATTGGACTTGTAATTATGGCATCACATTAAGTAATGCTATGCTGTAAACATCAGTTTCTATCACTGACATTGCAAGAAAGTATTGTGACATCATACCACATGTTCTGCTACTTTATATTTCCATCACAGTATTACACACATGTAAGCCAAGTTTATCTTGCAAAACATGTTTTGAAACCTGGCCATCAGCTCTCCTCAGAAGGGCCTGACAAAATATCTTATCCTTTCAATGACATCTGAATAGATCTGTCAATTGCTTTCTTTTTTCATTTGCTATTTCATTTACCTATATTCAACTGGGTTTTTTTTCTTTCACATCACATTCCATTGAATAGTAGATTTTTCATTAACATTGTATAGTTTTATTTCTGCAAGCAAGTTCTGTAGGAATGGCTCTGACCAACAATGTGAAAAACATCCACTCTTTTCCATAATGATGCCATAGTGATGAATCATATTCTGTGATATCATTATGCTTTTTGCATTTGCAGTATGAAAATTTAGGCAAGTACGTAAGGGATGGAATTTATATTGTCCTACACTATTGCAAATGTTCCATCACTTGTCTTAGACAAGCTCAACTTGAAAAAGGCATCAACGTTTTATGCTCACACTTTTAAAAAAATCTAGACATATGTATAAAATGTGGCTTGACAATTGTTCTATATATTTGACAATATTTTCTTACAAAATATATTTAAAAGTGAAATAAAAAGGAGCACATTCAATCAAATAATTAGGCTCTATTATATCTATATTTTTATTTAATGTTTTTCACTCAAGATGCAATTGATTAGGCTTAAATTATCATATACTGGACATATTATGTGAAGTTCTAGCTCTGTTGAAATCTATAATACTCAGAAAGTGAAAGAAAAGAGAATGACCAGCAGCAAGGCAAATGGGTTTGATTACAATGACAACAGATGTAAGATTCTACTACAAGGCAAGATTGGAGAAAAATTCACCATGAAAGTCTGTCTTAAGAATCAGTACTGATTTCACTTAGTTTACACTCAAGGGGAAATGTTTTAAACATCTTTTATTTTTGGATTTTTCTAAAGTCCAATTGGATTCTATAAATTCCATGTTATAAAAAGCTGTCACCCATTTACTTATAAAATATCAGGTGTATTTTATGAACTACTCTGCCTTGTACAAAACACAATAATATCATTTCCAAAAGTCCCTACTGAGAACCTTCTAAGAGTTACTATCTGCACAACTCTATGCATGTTTATTCAAACATTAGCCCACTAGGTTTAAATATATTTAGTCTTCTATATGTTGGATCACTGCTGTAGTTATTCTTAACTTCAATTTGCTTGTTTAAGAGCTAGAAATTGGAGTGAGTTTTTCCCCAAAAGCAAAGCACGAAAACGCTAGCAACTAAAAATAGATGAAATGTCGAATTTAGTACTCCCATGTCAAATGTCAGCGCTCAAAACAGATGAACTTTATGCAAAAGGGAATGTAGGAGACCAACTGATTTGCTAGATAATCGCTGCCCATTTCTTAATATCCCCGAGCTTTTTCCCTAGGGAGGCTTATTCTACCCACGTCCCATCTCAGAAGCGTGAGCCACACAGTACGCTGTTTTGTTGCCAAAAATTCCCAAAACAGACAGGTTTCCTCTTCCAAAATTTACCTGCGGGCTCAATGTACCACACGGACGGGATGTCGTCTCTAAATGCGCCTTTCTGATTAAAGGGTCCGACAATGCATTTGCCCAATAGTGTCACAAATGTTGGCTGCTAGCGGGTTCCCAAGCGAGTTTAACGTTTAACTCCCCAACAGGCAAGGAGCTTCCCCGCCTTCGGGCAAGGGGCAGGGACCGACGCCAGGCAAGCTCAGCTGCCCGACCCAGCCGACCACAAGCGGACTTAAAGCGCTCAGCCTGGATGGCATTTAAGGGCGCAGCTCCGCAACGGCGACCCTGCCCAAGGGGTGTACTCGCCAGATGCCCAAATGCAAAGCACAACACCTCGCTCGTCCTGCTTACTACCCGGGGGAAAGGAGCCCGGCGACGCACAGCTGACCTTGGGGAGACGCGGTAAGCAGCAGGAACGGCGGCGGCAGGAGGAGGAAGAGGAGGAGGAGGAAGAAGAGAAGCGCCTCCGCGGCGGAGCTACATTGTCCGGACCCCATCGATCAGCTGGAGCTGCCTGCCGAGCTGCTGCAGCTACTGCTTCTCGCTCCCGAGGCTCCCGAGGCTCCCGTCCCCCTGGGTCCGGCCCCGCGCGCGTCCCAAAAAGGAGGCGTTTGCCGGCGGGCTGTCCCACCCCGAGGCACTGCCTTCCCTCACGTGCGAGCGCTGCTGGCGGGGCAAGGAGCGGACACGCGCCCAGGGAGGCGGCCACCCACCGCCTTCCCTCTTTTCCCGCGCTTCCGCGAAGACCTCGCGCCGCAGTTGAGAAAGAAGTAGTGAGGCACGCCTGCATCTCTGTCGTCTGAATAGTAGTTGCATTGATGTTGTGATTCCCCCTCCCCCATATAGTAGGATATTCGATAGAAGGGAGCGTTTTCCATTACTTAAACGTTTTTAGGAAAAGCTGAATCACTTCTGACTTACACAAATTGAGAATGGCTTCGGTCATGGGTAAAATGGCCTTTAATAATAATGTTGCAAACTGGGAAGGTGGGTGGCAGCTTGATGAAAAATGATGATGATGATGATGATGATGATGATGCATTTGAGTTTATTAACCTTCCAAAGGTTCTCCCAATTATTGTCATTTTAGATGTACACTAATCAGCATACATGTTCGTTGTATTCAGCTCTCAAAGGACAACCATTATGCATATATGACAGGGAAACAAAACAGTTTAGTTTGAATGTATACATATACGTAGAATTAAAAAAGAGAATCCTGCAAATGTAGGAGATAGATGACATAAGAAACAAAGCTGTTGCAGGATCTAGCAGTCCTGCTTATAAATACTTTGAAACCTCCTCCCAGAGGGGAGCAGCAGAAACAGACTATGAAGTGGTTTTGTGGCAGTGCTGGGTTCCGGATCCCATTGCAACCGGTACGGTGCAACATGCACATGTGCACACATGCACAGCGTGCCCATGCGCCCTTACCTCCGTGATACCTCTGCGTCTCACCAGCTCCTCGCCAAAGAGCTCAAATACAAGGAAGGAGCTCGGGCGGGCTGGCAGGGGGGCCCTCCTAAGCACCGTACCGAAATTGGGGCGTACCGCTTGCAACCCCCCACTGGTTTGTGGGGTCTCTAACAAAGTTTCAAGCCCTAAGCAAATCTTCTGATAGATAAGACATCAGAGCTTGATTATCTTGACACATCAACGATTTTCTAGTTCTCCCAGCCAAGACTTCACTTCAACCCAGCTCAAAAAAAAAAAAAGACTTGGGGATCTTCCTACTCAAAGTGCACAGATTCTAAGCTAGCAAAGCTTGATTTCTGTGCCATGGTGCATTTTTGCTCAGTGGGGAAAATTTTAATGAGACGTTCCATTATGATGGGAACAAAACAATGGAGATCTCAATATAAAAAAGGAGTTTATAGGACAAAAATAAATACAATCGAAATAACTAGTCAGCCAAGCTGAATGATTTATGATAAGTTCAAGCCCTCAATTCAAGGCATGTTCATTGCAGAAAAAAACAATGGAGATTGGACATAAGTATATTTTGTTTGCATGACATTAGGCACATTCTCTGCATTTTTTCTTCTGCCTTGTACAGTTTTGTGTCTCAGCATTATCCTCAGCTTTAGAGAATTTGGAGAATAATTGAAAGTCAGTCTCTTTGCAAGGACTTTACCTGATCAATGCTGTCTCTGAGGCCCTGTGTACAGTATAGCCAGCAAATCAAAAACTATCCAGAGGTTCAGCCTATTTTCCTAATGAGGCTTGGTGGTGCATGAGAAAAGCTAAGCCTAGTTTTCTTTATTTCTGCTATGGATGAGGCAGGTTGTTTTAAAACCAAAGCTGAATTCACATCTCTCTGAATTTTGAATATGCTACATTTTTAGCAGATATTGTTGGGTCACAAGGGCTAGATATGTTATCAAGGTGCTCCATAAAATGGTAAAATTGACTGTATGGAAATATCTTCTGGACTGAATCTTAGTACAGTAGTACAGTATGATTTGAAATATTGGAGAAATACACATGGATCTATACAGAAACGGCATACCATCAATAATTTTGTATTCATTTATATGTCACCTTTATTATTTTTACAATCTCAAGGCAGTGAACACATCCAAAACATTTTCTTCCTACTATTTTCTCCACAACAGCAATAACACTTATATATATCACAATTGTGGGGTCCTTGGTGCCTTCTGAAGTTGGTTATTTCCTTCCAGAGCTAGTTTCATTTCCAAACTAAGCAACATCATCAATGCTAGATGTTTGGTAATGAAACATCTGCAAGAAAACAACCAAGTTCAGAGAGCACCAAGGATCCCACAATTCAGCCCCAAGCTACAAATATTTTGTCACTATATCACAATTTGGTTCCTTTTTTGTGCAGGGGATTTCAGTAAATACAAAAAGCACTTAGTTTATTAAAGACCTTATGAAGCTTTTTTTCAGCTTTTTAAATTAACATCTTAAAGACAGGAAATAAAGATTTTTAAGCTGTAGCCTAACTCTATTTTTTAAAGTTAACAATAAATATTTTTGTAAACTTTAACTGGAAATACATAAGCACCTTTCTTCTAGCAAGTAAGGAAAAATGAGAACTGCAAGGTGTTGTAATAATAATATTAATAATGTATGCCACTCAACGCTCAATGACTCAGGGCATCTTACAACAATCAAAGAAATTAGAATAAAATTAATAGAAGATTAAAATATGCTAAGCACAATAAAATGATATTCTTCTCCCTTACCAAAGGCCTGGGTAAAAAGCTCCTCAGAGATCCTTCAAACAATGGTAGAGTGGGAGCCATCTGCATCTCAGGGAGAAACTCATTCCGGGAACTACTACCGTAAGACACTAACTCATTGCAGGAGAAGGGATAATATCAAGTTCTTGGCTTCCCTGCTTCGATAGAAAGCAAAATTCTTCCAGACTTTCTTTAACAAAATTCACTGAAAAAGGATAAGATAAAGTGACAGAAATCTCAGCAACTGGATTATTTCTTTAGAATCCAAACTATCTGCCAACACATTTCAGACATGCCAAGTAAAAGTCACTAGCAAATTTACTTTTGAGAAAAATCAGCTGGGGGGGGGTGACTTCTAACCATACTGGTAAGCATAATGCTCTTGATAAAGGGATGGTATGAAACATTCCAGGTTTCTATTCGGTAATTGATTGCTTAGCTAAATAAAAACATTTAAACATTGTTTTTATGCAATCTTTTGTTTATATACAGTTAATCTAAATTAACTGCTATCAGGATATTTTGGGGGGAAAGCATAAAATAAAATGTTTATCTACTGCACATATACAGCTCAGTTTTATCAAAAAAAGGAAAATATTATTTTTAAGTAATAGGTTCCAACATACAATTTGTATACATTACTTGTTCCAGATTCGTATTTTAAATTTTTTTCAGCAGTTTTCCTTAGATATGTTGGAGAATTGAAAAATCACTAGACATTAGTGTATTGAAGATGAAGGAAAATATTGTATTTCCTTTTTTAAAAAAGAGTTGTAGAGCTTTCTCAACTATCCACTTAACTTTGAGTCAAGAGAAGACTACTATATTACATTTGTTACCGATCTTTTTCCTGTTTCTGCTGTTCCATTCCCAGTCCAAGTTGACCATCTGATTTCCAAGGAAATAGTGACAAAACCCATTCTACACCTTTGAGAATGTCCTTGGACAGTGTCGAAATAAGATGATGAATACATTTTTAATACTGCTGTCCTAAGGGTACTTTTCAAAAGGCAACTGGACTTTCTTGAGGTTTTTTTCATTTAAAATGTTTTGCTTTTCATCCAAGGAGTTTCTTGTTCTTCAGTTGTAATTGATGAAGGAAAATTGACAAAGCAGAAAAAGTGTTACTAGGGTATATTTCTGCCATGATTTAGGTGCAAGGGAGAAAGGGCTCCAGATTGCTTTAAAACTGCAGTTTTATTCTCTTAAAACATTTAAGAAGAGGGCATAACATTTCTCTTTTTAAAAAAAGCAATTCTATGCCCTTGAAAAATATAAGAAGCACCTATATAGATAAATAGCACACTGGCTAGATTAAAAGAAATTCTAATGTGTTTCTGTAGACCATACAATGCACATTCTAGTCCCTACTCTAGTCTCTTAAGATACTTATCTAAGGTGACCAGACGTCCCGCTTTTGGTGGGACACCCCCACTTTTTAATGCATTTCCCCGCGTCCCGCACGCTTTTTTAAAAAGCACGCTTTTTTGGCGCTCGCAGCTCCCGCCCATCAGCTGCTAGCTTGCTGGGCTGGCTCATCGTTCTGTTCTACCTCCTCCCTACAATTTTAAGCCAGCCCAGCCTGCCGCTCACTGATTTAATTGGCCAGGACTCCAGCCAATCAGTGAGCTGGCTGGGATGGAAAATTTTCCATCCCAACCAGCTCACTGATTGGCTGGACTCCTTAGCCTGAGGACGCCTGCGCGAGTCTCCATTTTATTTCGTCTTTGTTTTGGGGTTGCAGCTGCGCTTAANGGTGTAATGTTTGTATCCCCTTTCCCTATGAGTTGTAAGCTGCCCTGAGTCCCCTCAGGGAAAAGGGCGGCCTATAAATAAACTTTTCCATTCCATTCCATCTGGTGGTGATGCTGTCTATCACATTTTGCTAGCTTACCGAGAAGTAAGTTGTTTTCTACTTTGTCAAACACCTTACTGAAATCCAAATATACTATGTCCACAGTATTTCCTTAACTTCACTAATTTAGTCACTTTGTAAAAGAATGAAATAAGATTTATTTGGCTAGCGCTACAATAGGTCTGAGTGGAACTCCTATTTTGTGCATCTTGGGGAGTCTGAGAATCTCACTGGGACAGGAACACATCAAATGTGTTACTTGACTTTACTGTTAATTGATTAATCACGACCGCTGTTGTTCATACCTATTTATTTTGTTGGTGCTCTCATTGTTTAATGGTTTTTAATTGATTACATTGTGTTAAAATTTTAAAATTGTAAGCCCATCAAGAGTCATTTAGTTGAGTTGGCCAACTGTAAATTGGTTGAAAAA